CTTCACTGTGATCCGTTTGTGATTTATTTGTCATGTGAATGAGTGATGACTTAACGTCCCACAGGTCTTCTAAACTGCGCTTTTATTGTTACGCTGAGTGGATATTTTAAATCTATTAAAATAAACTAAATTTTACACATCAAGTATGAAGGTTCAAAATTGGTGACGCCAAAACCCAAAATCGGGCCATGTATTTAGTTAATTAAATAAAACTCTTTATTTCTTGAAGAACAATTTTAATATTATTATCACCGGGATTATTGAAGTAGCGACAAAATTTTAATTATTATTCAGAGGGGCCATATATTCCAACCCCAACAGGGACACTAACTGTAATGACTTACGGTCCTGTGACTTTCCTCAGTCCCTGTAGGTAGATACCAGGGTAGTATCTCTATTATCTCTCATTCGCATCCTTTCTGGTCCGTCCAGAATCACCACTCATATCTTATTCTATTACTTGAAGCTGTGTGGTCTAGCATATATTTTAATATGATCCTGGAGTTTACGTCTGGGTCTCGCTAGAAATTAAATGTTTAGGGGATGGTGTGGCATATTGCGTTCATTCAGTTTCCCGAACACCAAATAAATCCACTATAGAAGAGTTTGGTTCCTTGAAAGCGATATCTCGTTCGTAGCATTGAAACAATTTTATTTTTATTGCTAGTGGGGTGGGACTAAGTCCTTTGTACTGCGGCCACTTCTGGCCCATTGTACCAGCCCCAGATGATAGGTGAGGGTGATTCTGGAGCAATTGGTGGAATGAAGATTGGCAGGGGAAACCGAAGTACTCGGAGAAAACCTGCCCCAGCGCCACTTTGTCCACCACAAATCTCACTTGACCAGACCCCGGGATCGAACCCGGGCCGCCGCAATGGGAAGCCAGCGACTAACCGCTTGAGCTATGGCGTGGCCTATTGAAACGATTAGTATAATCGCTTTAACGGTTCCTCTTATTGTCACGTGTATTAGTGACTAAGACACGGCTCTGGAATGACAATCGATTTATTGGAAAACTACCGGTCTAACTACAAAGAATCGTAACATTCCAAATAATTACTGGAACAATAACATGTGAAGTAAAGTCTTCAACACTTGAATTCTTATTTTCGTTTGTAGCCTCCGGAACCATGCCATTGGATTCTGTCTGTCAGTCCGTTATCTTCGCTACTCTTATAATCTTCTCTTGAACCATGTAGAAGTCACACCCGCACTGCACTCCGCCCTAGTCTCTCAATTGCCTTGAACTGCTGGTGTTATTCTGTAAACCTCGTTATATAACCTCCGCACGGATGACATAGAAAACACGGTCTCTATTGTTGACGAAATTTGTTTATTGCTCTTTGCCTAAAATAGACATATAATATTGTTGTTACGCACCCAACTAAATGTTGCTTACAAGTCCATTGACTGTTGTTGGCCAAGAATTTTTCTTCTCGAGGGAAAGTTTTTACCTAGCTGTTCCCTAGCAATGGATATACATGTTGCAATATGCATTGAATTAAGTTTTCACGATAGGTAGGACTCGGGATAGGGCAAACATTGCGGTCGTCATAATTTCCAGGCGGTGCTATTTCTTGTATACATATTTAATTATTCCTAAAACTGAAACTTCTTTTACAGGCCCATATCGGATAGCATATTCACTTAGCGACTGACTATAGTAACGGGCTGCATGTGAGAGAAAGCTGGTTAAAGGTGTTGTTGTATGGACTATAGTTATTATCTGTTTAGCATATAAAACAGGGTCATACACTGGAGATCATGGGATCTGCTGAAGGGGCATTATCAATATGCAAATGGTTGTAATACCACTCATAACACGTAATAGCGCAGATCTGCACTAGATGGTGCTGGAGCGCTTTGCTCACGTGGTCAGAAAATTGAGAGGAGAATAACCCTTGCTTGGCTTGTAGGATTATAATTTAGAATCCATTTCAGAGCGGTGAACAAGTTTATTCGAACGTACGCCATGTTGCATTTAAAGGGAAGTGAGGTTATGGCCAGAAGTTTCAGAACAACAATTTATGTTTACTCCCCATCTCCTCCGTTGCTCCATACTCATCTATCCCCTCTCCCTGAGGTGTGGGTTGCCCTGACTACGCAGCAGCTTATCATATCCTCGGTCTTTTAAGTCGAGGTGTATTCATTCAAGGGGTAAAATTTTTTGGTTGTATTGGAGAGGTTCCCATATCGAATCTCGCTAGATTTTATAAATGACCAGACGGCATCTTAGACCATTACTGCTTCCTTTCAGATTCATCATTCATCATACCATTAGGCTTCATGGATCGCGTCCTGTTGTGTATTCAATATTTATGTGAATTTGACTGTAAACACAACATAAAGAAGGATATCTTCAAGGTGGAGACAAAATAGATGCGAAAAGAAAAATTTATGTGTGCTGTACTTACAGTGAGACTTATAATCCGTTGCCAGGATAGGACTAGTGAAGACTGAGAAGACTTAGCGTGTCCTGGTGATTTGTAAAGTGGATAGATTATCCATAGTGCTATAATTTATTTTGATTAAAAGAGATTTTACAAGGGATGATCAATAAATCCAATCATCCAATACGAACCCCGTCTCAGTAGTCACGATCATAAACATGTGACAATATGTTGAATTTTGTGGATATTAATTACTTTACTTACATTTTAAATATTTTATCTGGAGGTTATTCACGTTGGTGTAGTATTGTTTGTGTTAACGGCCACCGTTAGCCGTTGTGTAGACAAATACGTACGATGTAAAATATGTCACAGAAAGAAACAATGACGCCGTTAGTGCCTCAAACAATATTGTGTCTTCAGCATTGGAAGGAATGTGGGAGGAAGCGTTCTTTGTCGTGGCCCCTGGATGTCATGAGACAAGTTTGACAGTCATATATGCCTCCAATTTTCGCCTCAGTTTTGTAGAACTTCACCTGATTACCCATAAGACTGCCTTCTTAAAAATGAAATAAATGCCTCCTTCTTCAAGGTTGAGGGGTAGGCTGAGTAAAACTGGAGATAACAAATGACAGGCAGAGTCTTTCAACCGATTTTATGGGGCTGGGTCATGGATGAAACCCGCAAGAAGCCTCAGAGTAGTCGAAATCCCAGGAGAGATTCGAAGTATCACCTCTCGAATACACGTCAGAGGACAGGTTATTGTCATTATTACGCATAATTTCAATTATTTTGATTTACCAGTGTTAACCGTCATGAGCTAAAAAACAAAATAAAAAAGTAAATGTATCCCTGTAAGAGCCCGTGAAGATCCGTAGGGTTGTGAGACGTCGAGGCTTCCACATTTTCTAGACAATCGGCTAACAGATGGTTGTGAGGTTGTCAGCTTTGCGTGCCGGCCGCCCTTGATTCCCCAGGTAGATTCCTGGTACTCATTTCTGTTAGAGGCTGAGTCGACCCAAGGGCCATAGTGCGGCTGGAAGGATTAGGTCAATTAAAAATGCAGTGACCTCATCGTGAATCAATCTCTTCGACCTTCCGGTTTGTAGCTCAGTGTCTCAACCAAATGCTCTACCGCATGCCCCACCAAACTATAAAAACATGTGAGACGGTAGAGGTATAACTCCACCATTCTTGACCTCGGCACTAGGTGGGGGTGAATGATCAAGTGCTTTTCCCCCGGGGGAAAAGAGCCCTCACTACTCTTTCTATAGGAGAACGGGTAGGCAGAAGAGCGGGTCTGAAAGCTGTGGAGGAGAGAAAATTTCCTGCCTCTGCCGGGAATCGAACACCGCCTATCTAGCCCGTAGCCCTTCATACCGACAGAGCTGTCCTGTATGGTCCATGATCTTTATCCGTATCAAAAAGAAATAAGAAGTCAGCCAACATATGAGAGAGATATTTGCTCATTTTGGTGCCACTGAGATGAGTCCTCTTCTGACGGGGAAGAAGTATCATATAAACACTGGAGGGCATGTAGCAGGGTCCCTCTATATATGACGCATATTTCTGAATAAACAGCAAGGACCCAGGGATCAACATGCAGCTCACTACCTGGGGGCTTCAGTCCCTAGCCTCTCTCATAAACCCTGCAAGGATTGTAGTGTAATTCAGTGCAGAAAACCCCTTTCCCATTTTGGTTTGCAAGTATGTAGGCACGTACAGGGCCTAAAGGTGAGAGCTTCAACCCTGGATGCAAGTAACACCAGACAGGATGTCCATAATGGAACCATGTAACCGACCACTACACATTAATTTTTGTACAAATATTATGTTTCCGGACATTATCCAGGTAAAACCTACTCAGTGGAGCCCAATAGATAGAGCTAATCCCTAAATAAGAACAGGACGGTGGATAATGTCCAGAAACAGCACACACACCCCCCGTGATCTTAAACCGCAAGCGAACTATACCGACCGAGCGACCACCGCTTGTCCGCGAAGTTAGTGCCAACTTTAGCGGATAGAGGGTGTCGCGTGGTCAGCGCAACGGATTCCCACGGCCGTTAATTTCGGTTTTCTAGACCGGAGCCGCTATTTCCTTGAAATCGCTCCTCAATTATCATCACGAGGCTCAGTGGACCCCGTTCCAGACCCACTACTTCTCAGAACAAATCTGGTAGCGTCGGGAATTGAACACGAACATAATATTTGTATTAATGTAACATAATCACAAACTTTAAGATCCTAATAATTTTGATGTGGATGAGGCTTGTAACATTGGAAATAACTAACTTCATGGAGCTCCATCTTCAGGACCGAACAATAAGTTAAGCAAGAAGCAAGCGTGAAGAAGCTAATAAGCTAAGCATCGGATGAATTTCAACGCAGTACAGGCCATTAGTATATCCCAGAAGATAGAAATCTGTAATTGGATTATACCTTTTTACTGCTAGATTTGTTCGTATTTTATATATAGTACATAAATCATAAAATAGCCCCATTTAACTGCATTGAACCATAAATCGCAAACGGCAGGATGAGAAAATGTTAAAATCCTACGAAGCTTTGGTGGAGTCGGGAGGATTACAAGTAAGCAAGACTGGGACTATGACAGTGTCAGATAAAAGTGGATTATTATCACCAGAGAAGGGATTAACAGAAATGTCCCCCGGAGCAGCAGGAAGATACCAACTGAGCAATTCATACATCAGAGAGTATATAAACAACAGATATATAAATTAAAGTGTTAAAGTATATAGCCTAAAATGCTTGAATATAAATATAACCTCCTGTGACGAAAAGAATTTATATTTGCTGCCTGTTTTATTTTCAATCATGAAGAAAGAGGCAACGTATTCCTCCGAAACGATGTTATATCGCAGAAGACAGAACTTTTCATAACCACCGCTGTGAGAACCGGAGAATTTACGTTTCGAAGTTCTGTTATCGTATACCTTTTCAGGAATTTAAATTTAGTGGCGCTAGTGGCACTTCCGTCTCACGCTTTTGTTCGTAGGGTTCATTCCCCGGCAGGGCCTCCCTATCTTCCTGTTCATTGGTGTCTGGGTGCTTCTATCCCGGCGACATCTGAGGCAGGTAGCTGACAATTTACCAGTCTCTTATACCGAGGTCAAGAACAGTGGTAACTACACCTCCAATCTCCCATGTGTCGACATGTTGCGGCAAAGACGTAAACACTGGAGAGGAGGAAGAAGAAAAATGTCCATTGTTGGGAACCGTAATCGAGCAACGACTATTGGAAATTATAACAGACGGAGACAGCGTTTGCTATAATGATTAGTGTTAGGACTATAGTGATGTGTAATTATGAGTTATAAGCCTTCAATAAATCCAGTTACCAATCCAAACCTCATATCTGCTAACTAGTATATGACAGTATATTTAGTGGGTTACTTCGCAGTCTTTAAGCCTTCAACGCTCGACTAAGCATCCTTGAAAGATAAGTTGGAGGATCCCTAAAGGCATTACATGAACCTAAAGCCTCGCTGTCGACTGACTCTATACTCTGCAGGTCATTGTACGTATTCATATCAATAGAGGACTGCCTTTGTGGTGTAGTGGTCAGAGTTCCTGCCTACAGACACGGAGGTCCCGGGTTTGATTCCCGGCATTACCAAATTTTCTGAGATGTAGTGGGTCTGGAACGGGGTCCATTCAGCCTCGTGAGGATAATTGAGGAGTTATTTCATGGAAATAGCGGCTCCGGTCTAGAAAACCGAAATTATCTGCCATGGAGATTCGTTGCGCTGACCACGCGACACCATCTATCCTCAAAAATTGGCACTAACTTCGCCGGCAAGCGGCGGTCGCTCGGTCGGTATAGTTCGCTTCTGGATTAAAGCCACGGAGTGTGTTTTGTTTGTTTTTGTTTATGAATATCAATGGAGACGTATCGTTCTCCGCAAGCATGCGGTATTTGACGTAGAGATGACGTAGCAATATGGGAAGCAACGCCCCGAGAATGACCAGCGTCCGGAATAGTCAAGCAATCTGTAACCCTCGAAGCTGGAATGTTAACGTTCAGGTTTGCGGAATCCTCGTTTTTACACTTCGAACATTCCACAGTTGCAAATTCATGAGCGAAGCCAAGAGATATCAGTTTGTATAATTCCACTCCGATGCACGACGAGGCGAGTGTGCCACTAATATAAATCATCGTCATCATCATCATCATCAACAACAACAACATTGGTAAAACAGACAGCCCTTTTTGAGTCATACCCTTTCTTACGAACAAACAAACTCCGTGGCTTCTAGTACGCAGGTTAACTATACCGACTGAGCGACCGGCGCTTGTCGGCGAAGTTAGTGCCAACTCTAGCGGATAGAGTGTGTCGTGTAGTCACGATCCCCACGGCCGTTAATCTCAGTTTTCTAGACCGGAGCCGCTATTTCCTTGAAATAGCTACTCATTTACCCTCACGAAGCTGACTGGACCCCGTTCCAGACTTACTACTCCTCAGAAAATCTGGTAGCGCCGGGAATCCAACTAGGGACTTCTGGATCTGTAGCCAGGAACTCTGACTACTAGACCCCAGAGGCGGTCATACCTTTCCTTACACTGTATCATATCACAGAAGGCGGTGATATAGATATTGTGGCGTACAGACCCGTTGCTAAAAGGTGACTCTGTAAACAACAACCGTTTCTGGACAACGGCTCGATAAATACGTTCCTGCTGCAACGAATATGCATACAACAATAAAGATATTTTTGGAAACGGGATGTTTCGACGTGGTCCGCGCTGAGGTGTTATAAGAAAGGGAGAAAGTCAGTTGTTAGGAAGTTCTATACGGAAGGCTGTGAAGACAAAACCTGAACTCGTGAAGCTGAAGGATCTACACAATTAGAAGCCGTTGCTTGGGAACGGCTGTTGAAGACACATCGGTCTGGAAAAAGGCTTTAGCGGCTGCTGTTGTGATTTGTGAATTGTGGAGATTGGCGGCGGCGCTGTGGTAGTTCCGAGCCGTGAGTATTAATGGTCAATAAATCCATTCTCCAATCCAAACCTCGTCTATAGTCACACACACAAAGACGTGACAATATTGTATGTACGACATGAAATACTAAGTGAATGGTCTTCTGGCTTTTAGCGCCGTGTAGTTCGGAGGAAGCCTGACGTTTCGGAGGAATATATAGCCTCCATATTTAGGATCGATAAGTATCCAGGCAAGAAACCTGCAGAATTCAACATAACAAAGAAACAAATTAGTAAAGGGATATTAATAGGTGTAGGAAAATTATACGAAATTAAAAATTCATTCGCCGTCCTAATTCCTTTCAATAATATTGAATTGTTAGCAGTAGCGATGCCACTCACTCGCCTCGAGGTCTAAGGTATGAACTGTCTTCGCCCGCTCAGAGGCTGGGATCCCACTCAAGACATGGATGTCTGTGTGTGCGTTTATTCTGTTTCTCTTGTCCTGTGTGTAGGCAGCGGCCTTGCGACTGGATGATCCCCCGTCCAAGGAGTCTTACCGACTGTCTTAGAATTAAGAAACTGAAGTGAAACAAATCGTTTCACGAACGCCCTTTGCTACAAAGTGGGGGAAACAGGAGTAGTAATACCAGTAGTAATAATAGCAGTAATATCAGTAATAGTGGCAGTAGTAGTAGCAACAGTGATAGCAGTAGTAGTAGCAGCAGTTGTAGTGGCAGTAATAATAGCAGCAGCGATGACAGTAGTAGTATTATCAGTAGTAATAATATCAGTAATGTCAGTAGTAGTAGCAGTAGGAACAACAGTACTAGCAGTAATGTCAGTAGTAGTAGCATCAGAAGTAGTAATAACGGTAGCAGTAGTGACAGTAGTAGTAGCCATGATGATAATAGTGGCAGCAGTTATAGCAGTGGTAGTAACATCAGTAGTAATAATAGCAGTAGTGGCAGTAGTAGCAGAAGCGGTGGCAGTAGTAGTGGCAGCAGTGATGAAAGCAGTGGCAGTAGTAGTAGCAGTGATGATAGTAGTGGCAGTAGTAGTAACAACAGTGATAGTGGCAGCAGTGATAGCAGTAGTAGTAGCATCAGTAGCAATAATAGCAATAGTGGCAGTAGCAGTAGCGTAGCAGTAGGAACAGTAGTAATAGCAGTAGCAGTAGTGGCAGTAGTAGTATCAGCAGCAGTGATGATAGTAGTAGCAGCAATATTAGTGGCAGTAGTAGTAGCAGTGATGATAGTAGTGGCAGTAGTAGTAACAACAGTGATAGTAGTAGTGGTGGCAGTAGTAGCATCAGCAGCAATAATAGTAGTGGTGGCAGTAGCAGTAGGAACAGTAGTAATAGCAGTAGCAGTAGCAGCAGTGGCAGTAGTAGTGGCCGCAGTGATGATAGTAGCAGCAATAGTAGTGGCAAAAGTGATGATAGTAGTAGCAATAGTAGTGGCAGTAGCAGTGACAGTAGCAGTAGGAACAGTAGTAATAGCGGCAGTAGCAGAGACAGTAGAAGGAACAGCCTGTGGTGGCCTCGACTGGCGAGGGTGGATAGCGGTGAACCTGAAGAAGTCAGTCTTCGTATTGTCGTTGAGACGTAGAGAAGTTGGCTCGCCACTTAATTGCAGCCAGTAACAATAAAATGTAAAAATCCATAATCGCACAGTTCTCTTAAGCTGCTGCAATCTGTTCTGCAGTGGGGGAAATTCCTGCGCGCAATGTTGCCAACACACCGAGGCGCAGTTTCGGCTAACGATTTGTTGAGGTTCTGACATCTGATCTACTTACAGATATTTCAACATTGAACATTGAATTCTGAAAATCCGTACATGTTAGAATTCTGGAACTTTGATTGGCTACTCCATTCTGCTACAAGACGTAAAACTGAATTGCTGAACTGTGTAATGCACAGATGAGGACTGGTCGGTCTGACGTCATCACATCGACCCTCCCCAATGTAGGGCAGGACGGGCTGTTACAATAACATAACTCGGGTCTCCGTGCAATAGTGGGCCATGGCTGGCAAACAGACGTATCGGTGGAGGCCAAAGCTTATTTGCGCGAAGAATGCATAGAGAGGAATATTTTATGTACACAAGCTCCGAGTACATATGCAAGGATGGTAAAATTCATAATTTTACACCAAATGCCCTATCTTTGTTTCCTTCCCTGATAGTTTACACAGATTTCTTAGGGTAAGATCCTTGACTTCATAAGTTGTACTCGTCTCCAAGTATAATTTGAATGAAGTAGGCAGGACATACAGCACGAATGGGGGGAGAAGAGGAATCCATATAGGTTATTGGTGGGCAAGCCAGAAGGAAAGAGACCACTGGGAAAACCAAGGCATAGGTGGGGGGACAATATTAAAATGGATCTTAGAGAGATAGGCTGGGATGGTATGGATTGGATTGATCTGGCTCAGGATAGGGACCAGTGTAGGGCTCTTGTGAACATAGTAATGAACCTTCGGGTTCCATAAAATTCTGGGAAGTTCTTGAGTAGCTGCAGAATTGGGCTCAGCTCCATGAGTGAGTGAGTGAGTGAGTGAGTGAGTGAGTGAAGTTTTCCTTGCCCTAAATGAATTATTATGCCTGAAATCCGTATGGGTGAGTGAAGGAATAGCTCCACCATTCTTGAACTCGGCAGTAAATAGAGATGGGTGCTCAGCTACACGCCCCAGCCGATTTACCCTCCAGGAAAAGAAGTCCCCGATATTCATTGCGTAGGAGTTTGAGTGAGACCTATGACCGGTCTGGACGCTGTGGAGAGGAGAAAGATCTCTTTGCTGGGAATGTAACCTAGATTCCTTGGTCATCCAACCAATAGCCCGTCGGTATACCGGCTGAGCTTGTAGTATTATTCAAACATCTGCAATCAGTACTAATTTTATGAGAATTGAGATTCTCCTTGCTGTGAGTATGAAAAATATGTCGTCCGAGATGTAGCTCCGTGTAGTATGGCATCAGTTTACCTACGCTTAGGATTATCCTATTACAGAATTTTCAGGTTCAAAGAATAAGCCAAGAGAGTTCCCAGCAAGAACAATTAGGTAGTAACTTCTTGGTCATTGCTTGCTTGGCTCACACTTCGAACCTGAAAATGGCAGTATATTCCTCCGAAACGTCTGTTAAATTTCACTGACTACACAGCGTTATATCCCAGAATATAAAACTCTTCATAAACTATTATTGTTTCGTAGAATACTGAAGAAGCATAATTACTTACGCCACTCTTGCACGAACCTGGGGTCTTGATCGACCTGGAGAAGGTCCATAATATCTGCTGAAACTGCAGGGTGTGGATGAGGGGCCGTAATCACCCTTCTCACGAAGCTATACCTACACCCTTACCTGTGGTACCCCATTTACCCTGATGATAAATAATTTCCGAGTAGGAGACAAGGCCAATCCCACGAACGTGGCAGTTGGGTTTTGCTTCTGGGGCCGCCTCGTCTCGCGTTCAGATTAGCATCTGCGGAGGAAATCAACAGCCTCAAAATTCGAGGTTTAGAATACACAGCCGCTGTTACTTGCCGCCCCAACGTGACGGTCTAAGTACACTTCTTCATTACAAATAGGATGTCTTATCGTCCGTGCAGTTTATATTCTCTGTCAGATGCGCATGCGTCTGTTGCTTTCCACTGACTCACACACGGGGCTGAGCCCTTCTTGATAATCCGCCAACTGTGCAGCTACTGAAGAACTTCCCAGCATTTTATGGAACCCCAAGGTTCATTACCTTGTTCCCAAGATCCCTCTACTGGTCCCTATCCCGAGCCAGATTAATCCAATCCATACCATCCTCTCTCTTTAAGATCCTTTTTAATATTTTCCACCCACCTACATCTTGGTTTTCCTAGCGGTCTCTTTCCTTCTGGCTTTCCCATTAATATCCTATATGCATTCTTATTTTCTCCATTCGTGCTATATGCCCTGTCCATCTCATCCTCCTTGACTTGATCATTCTAATTATATTTGGCGAAGAAACTCCTCATTTCGTCTGTTACAGTTAGAATAGTGAATGTACATTTGGCTTTAAGTTGGGAAGCAATAGTTGCATACGGAAAAAATTTTGATTATCACTTTTAAAGCTACAATTCTGGATACATATAAATATAGATTATTCTACTCCAAAGATGGCATACATTGGACCCGGTAGAAATCTAATTCCTTGGGGAGACCTGGCCCCATATTAATAATGTTGTGACATGATAGCTGAAATAAACTGCCCATTTCTAGTTAACGGCACAATAAACACACGATGGATGTGTAGTATAACAAGAGAAAGAATCCGCTACTATGCAACGGGCGGTAAAACAACATGTGACCGTTGGTTTTCACGACATGGGACACGTGATGGAAAAATAGACGAACTACTGGAAACGATGTTTTCCATTGGGTCCGCCCCAAGGCTATATAACTAGAGCATCCTGCGGAAGAATTTTCAGTAACATGTTATTTGTGCGATACGTACACTTGACAGGGCCAAGTATATGCATGAGAGACAAACCCATCCTCTCGTCAAAAAGGATGTTACATAAGGACTATGACGGCAAGAATTCAGTTTCCAGTTGCAAAAAATCTCTGGTTGTGAGTCTCAAGGTGCTTGGCACCAAGACGAACTGATTGGCAGTAAACCATCCGTCGTAAAGTAACTCTGACTCTGACCTTGAGGAGGTACGAGAGAGTCGCCCAGTCGGTAATAACGTAAACACAAGATAACCTTATTGTGACCTGTTACCAGGCAACGGCTAATGAAATGAAGATAGAGAAGGCTTAGCACGTGCTTTAGTAGGAAGTCGAGTTCGTGAATTAGCTAGAATTCTGTAATTACAATTGTATTTTTAGTCAAGATTTCTAAGAGTTCAATAAGTACATTTACCAATCTAAACCCCACGTATAGTCACCAAACACATGACAATACACTGAAGATGAATATGGTATGTTCCACCGAAATGTTGGTAACCGTCTATTAGATTACATGATTTCAAAATAAGGAAGATCACAATACGGATTTTCACTAGAACGAAAACCTCAAGCCTCATTAGGGATGCAGAGCGCTCAGAAAGGCGGTTGATGAAACCAGCTCGGAATTATGTCGAATAAGGTTGGGGAGGGGTTGCTAATTCGGTTTCTGTTTCCAGAAAATTAGTTTTAATTAACTAACGAAAATATTCTAAAAATGTAAGCTACTACACGGTTACACATTCAAGAGTAGAAAACAGTTCATGAAGGCGTGATCTTACGGCAAAGCTACTAAAGTGAAACAGACAAGTTGTTGACTATTTAAGATGTGTCAGCATATTCAGCGCGTAGACACAAGGTTGATTTCGTCATATAATGCTTTATCCTCCTTTAAGGGACAACTGACGTGTAGAAACGTGCGAGGAGTCAATAACCGTGTTGCTTTTCTCTGAAGACAAAGCTAAGAGCCCCCGGCAGACAGTGATGAAGATAGCTTGAAGGTCCACAAACCGCGTGATGTTTGGTGTACCTATATCAGAGAAATGCCTCAATATTGCCAGTAAACTTTAACAAACAGGCAGAACTGAGGGTGATATTTGTCTGTGAGATCACTGTACGAGTATTTGCAGGATACGAGGCAGCATGAAATATAACTTAGTGGGCGGAAGGTGTTCGCAAATTTCATGATACAGTCACTCCCAGAAGTAATGCATCAATTTACGTCATCCCTTCCCCTAAACCTTTTACCGTTCAGCGAAGACTGTAGTTGTACACACTGTTGTGGGCTGCGCTGTGACATCAGGAACGTAAATAGCTTTACAGCCCTCCACACTTAACAATAATAAAAAGCAAATTTGTCCCTATGCCAGCAGTAGCCACATTATCCATGAACACCTGTGTATAATCTTGGCGCACTACGTGCTTCCGAATGACAATCCAGAAAGTTATATATGAAAGTGATTCTCTGCTTGAGCAACACGCCATGGAAAAATATCGGGAAGTTTGGAAGAAATTGGGCCCTCTTTCAACACATGCACTGTCCACTTAACCTCCAGTGATCAGGTAGGAAGCATTTGAACGCGTTAACCTATGGGAGTTAGAGCGTCTGTTTTCTGGTATGCAGAAAATCAGTACACTGACTGAGCTATCCCTATATAAGAGATGGGATATTTCGGTCACTGCAGTTACTGAGCTACGGACTGAACGATCTGGGGATCGGGGTTGATTGCGGGAGGAGTAACAGATTTTGCTCTTGTCCATAGCACAAAGACAGGCTATGGCCCACCCAGCCTCTTATTTCATGTGTGCCCGGGGCGCTTTCCGGAAGAGTAAAACTGTCGGGGTTTGAAACTGGCTATCCACTTCCGTGTGGTGGCCGTGCGTCTTTGTGACATGGTGCTTAAGGCACAAAGACAGCTGTACCTGTTACGCAATAATCCCGGTACCCAGAAAAATTCTGTATTCAGTAGAATGCTCCAAATAAAAACTGTGCGAGTGTCAGCCTTCACGTGATTTTCAGTTTGGAAGCTTTACCGCTAGGTGGCAGTAATGCTTGTTCAAATCTCCATTATCTGTAATACAGCGAGGACTTGGTCCATTTCTCCAGGGAGCAATTCAGTTAAACGCTGTCATTA